ATACCATTCGATCATTGCTAGCATCGTTTTCCGATAAGTCGTGAAAGCCATCTTCTGGTCCCTCTTCATCAACGCCACTCTGGAAGAATAATTTCTTATTTTTCATAAGTCTTATTTTTTCACATTTTTCATTTGAACAAAAACTAAGAAGCTTACAACATCAAAAAAAAAATTTATTTATCCCAAAAGAATAGACTGAAGGTTTCACCTTTGTTATAATCTTTAATTCCCAAACTAAACCAAAATCCTGATAAAATTTTGACCAAAAAAACAATCGGGTCTGGTATTCAGTTCCAAAAGTTTGGGGCTCTTTTTCTAATTTGCATATAATACAGTAAGAACATTCCACGAACAGTGGTGAGGAGATCGAAAAATGCAAGCATATTGATATCCTCATCGACACTATCACCATTCCCTGGATCAGAATAATCCGTACTTGGTATTACGCTTCGTCTTTTCGGCTCCAAATAGAAACCATTCAAATTCCATGCACTCCATAACTGAATAAAGCTAAACATCATTCTGAATACAAAGAGGTACAATTTCTGACATTTGAACGATTGCATACAATTTCAGAGAAGCAGCTGATATCAAATTGCTATCAAAGCATGCAAAATCAATAGAACTTGAAATTCCATAAGAGTCAAGAAATTGTAATTTGGAACAGAAAGTCAGTGATTACTTTGATAATTTTTTCAACTCCCGATGAGAACAAAAGCCTGTTGAGAGAACTGTAACGTGCATGATTGACAATCGACCTGTGACCTTCTAAAACCCGGTAGGCTTTGTCTACAATTTGTCCTAAAAAAATAGTCAAAATGTATGAATTCAACACAAATAGTTACATAATAATGTATATGTTATGGCATCGATATAAATGAAAGCAAATTTTTTTACACCAAATCGCTATAAGAAAAACACTTTTTACCAACAGTTTCCCTGTCTTCAGGCACTTTCCAGATATATATATTCCAATCGTCAGAACCAGTCATTACCAAATCACGACTTATAAATGAACATGATTTAACTGTACAGGAATTTAGGTAATTCTGATCGTTGAATTCCACACTGCCGCCACCATTTAACTAAATTTGTTAACCGAAAATTACACAAAGTATAAACTAAATTTGGTTGAAATAGAAATCCTATTAAAAAAAGAAAAAAATAATACATTATCCAATGCTCTTTAAAAATAATAACAATTCAGGATTTAAAAATTTTCCCAACTTAGATTTATTTACAATACACATATAACCAAATCAATATATAAAACAACAAGAATATATACAAGGAATTCAAAGGGATAAAGTTAATAGCAGTTTAATAACAAGATCAGTGATGGTTAATTAAGGATTTTTCACAATGGACGGGATTACCGAGTTCTAAACCTCAGTCAACACGAACACAAAAATTTTTGCTGTTAAGAATGATATTTTAATAAAACATACGTCGTACAATATGGGTGACGTACGGCTACGTGTAGCAAAAATAGCTTCCCCATCCTCACTCCACTGGCCATACATAACAGAACTAATATTTAAATTTACGCGTGCTCTAGTCAACTGATCAAACTGGAAACAAGGGCTGAAATTTTAAAAGTCATTGAATTTAGAAACTGAACTATTTTCAGAGAAATACTTTCAGTACAATACATTTATCATTAGAATGATCCATTTAGAATTGCTTTTATTAAAAGTGTTTGAGAGCACATCTTTTCCATTACAAGATTTACTGTCGGCAAATTTTATACGATTTCTACCTATAAACTTTCCGCATTATGATCAAAAAGGGTATTCCTTTTGAAGTTACATTCATTTAAAAGTAAATACTTAAAAAAATCGGAAAATGATTTCAAACTGAAGGAATTATAAAGTCTCTAACCTGTCAAGTTTCCGGATGTCATGTAATGATAGGCCATCACGTCCATTACAGACTGATATGATATGGACTTGTCGAGGATTGAACTGCGCACAATACATGGTTCCTGAAAACTGATTGATTCACTATTAAAAATTGATTCAATTCAATTTTGGATAAATAAAATGTTCAAGAGACGAGAGCAAAACAAACCTGAACTTTCAACAGCAAGTGATTCTTCACCTCCTCGCAAATCGTATAAACGAACTTTTCCATCTTCTGAGGCAGACATAATCACTGAATCATCCTTGGGCTAGAAAAAAACACACCATAATAGTCTGAATATATTTAATTGCATTCTGATTTTGTAGATTACAACTTGAATAGTCAACTTATGACCAATGTGTAGCTCAAAACATTACAGCAGTGCGCTGAAGATTGACTAATTCTAGCGATTTAATTTGTGAATAATATATTTATTACAAGATATGAAATTCATTAAACCTTTTGTTATATCATAAACTATTATGTTAAACACATTTGAGAAATTTTAGCCCATCTTAATTATATGATCTTACATTTACGGCCACATTATAAATAGGCTCATCAGCTTTAAAACGATGCAATACACTGGTCGTTGCAATATCATGAACATATAAAAATGAGTCATTTCCAGCTGAATACAGTTTATCACATCTGGAAAACATCGCGCATAGAGTTCACGTTATAAACATAAGATCACTTTATTATAAAATCTAGTAGTGCTTGAACAGTTCAGCGAATGCTATCAGGGTATTTCAATTATCTATTTGATCTTATCTCACTGACATATTCTACTCCATAATTTTAAAGTCCTCACAAATATTTGATGAAATTTTTTTCCTAGTTAATAATTCAGTCTCATGTCGACCATTCGATTTATTTTCTACAAAATTCCTGTCCGACAAAATCCTTAAACATCAAGAAAAGTGTAATCAAAAACAAACTTGTTAGAAAATCCAACAGAAAATATATTTGAATAATGCATTTGTCTCATAACAGCCACAGGCTTCGGTTTCTCCATTACCTGCACATCATTAAGTTTCCACATTAACACACGTCTATCATCACCACCTACAACGCCACCACATATTTGCTTTGACTTATCATGGTTCCCTGGTGTGGAACCAACTTTTCTGTAGCAGGATAGAAAAACGAAAAATAAAAAGCTTTAAAAAAAGTTTTGTTATCCAAAACTATCTCGTTGAATGGTAATAAATAATACGCGATGAAATATATCGTTTTGCACCATTTTACACCAAAAAGATAGTTTATACCATTCACAAAAATTAACTTAGTTTATATCAACATGAGATACATGGAAAGCAGATAAATATAATCGTGTATTTTGTGTGCTAATTTTTAAAGCTTTTTTATCAGCAGTAATAAAAAGGAAAAACAGAAAATAAACAATATCAAAACAGCTAACTTACCGCTAGCTAAAAAATTTTCATCCGTTGATGCCTCAATAGCATTTACACAACCGTAATGACCTTTGACATCCTTTTGATAAATATCTCTGTTGGGAAGATCAAGAAATGGAAATTCCCAAGAGTTGTGTACATTTTGGCCAAACTCTTTACGACGAAAAAACCCACCAACAACATGTTGCTTCTTACCTATACCCACCATACCTTCGAAAAATTCGGCCAACTTCTATCGCTATCACTTTGCAGACAGTTCCTAAAAAGAAATTTGAAGGAATTTAGCATTCTGATAACTAACACACAGAAAAATACGCAATATTGAAGTACACTACGAAATTCAGATCATTGATTGCGCAAAACAGAAAAGATGTAATAATATTAATAATAATAATAATTAATAACAACAATAATCAAGGATTAATAATAATAATTAAGAATTAATAATAACAATAATTAATAAGAATAATAAAAAATGATGATAACAATAAATAATAACAAATAATAATAATAAATAATAATGACAGCAACAATAACAATGACAACAACAGCAATAACAATAACAGCACCAAGAAAGTGTGACTAAACTATAGCCTTTGGCTATTTCAGAAGTTTTTGTTTCCGTATAAAACAAAAGCGGTCAGTACAGATAAAACAAAATGGATAACCTCTGATTTGAGTAATAACCGAAAGAACAAATACAGCAGTGAAAATGTTCAGTAATCTATGTGTAACGCATCACGAAGTATTCCAATTCGCAAATCACAAATCGATAAACAGGGAGAGAAGAGAATTAAGAGAGAAAGAAGAGATGTATCTCATTGAATTTTACGCCCCACTTTTAATTCTCAAAGTATTACCACTTCAACAAGTCACCAGAACGAACACATCCTGAACCTCATAACAACTGTCAGGAAAGAAACAGTGTGACAGATGTCCTCAATTACCTCTCGCACAAAGTGCGACATTTATAGGTAATGGAGACAGCTGACATTTGAATTGCAATGAAAATTAGAGTAATGCGAAATATTCAATGTAACGTTTGTTTCCGGAAATGATCAATCTGAGCACTGCCAATTTTCGATTTAACAATTAGCTGATTAGCATATGGAAATGTGTCGAATTTGACTGAAGAACCAGCAATACGACATAAAGTCCACAACAATCCCTCAAGAGAAGACGAAGAAACCTAACAAATAGTATAAGATTGTTTGTTGTTTAGCTATTCAGACCTTTTCCATTTGTTATTTATGGCTAATTAACACCAGTTACAATTACTCTCAGTCATTTGTCAATTGATGTTATCATGCTTCCTTTTTTTCTGTGTAGTATTACATCTTTTTCTTCTTAATCTTTGCGTCATTATTTCTCGAAAATCCCATTAATCTTTTTGATATCGCAATTTTCCTTAATATTTCTTTCATTTGTTGATATTATTCTCTACTTCATATCCTTTGCAGTTTTATCAGTGTTTCGAAATTTAATTCCATTTGCTTGCATCATTGTGTTTATTACATTTTGTTGTAATTATTTTAGAAAGTTTATTGGCTCATTTTGATGAAATTAGCACTTTCATTATTTTATTTTATTTAGAAATTATTATAGACTTCGAATGTGTCTCAAACGTTATGTATCATTTGAATTCTGGTTTAACTTGCAGCACTAATGTACTGATCTATTATGGCTGAGGAAAGATTCATTGATAATAGCGATCGAAGCTCCATCGAAAAACCACTGGCAGACAGGTTTGTTTAACCATAACCATAAAGAAGGCTGATCAACTAGTTTAACTTGCAGCACTAAAAAAAAAATCAGTTTTGCTATGCGTTATATCAGCACTAGTAAAAATGTACTGATTGGTTGATTGGATGATTCAATGATACTGGTAATGAAATTTATTTTTAAAATTCAGATTTAAAAGATTGATTGATTATTCAGTTGTTTTTCTTTAAACAGACAATTAACCGCTGTGAAAGCATCAAAGTTATACAAGGAAATTGAACGAGGTCAATTACCCATTGTATATCATCCAGTTTATAATATATCATTTTGTGGAATCGAACGGTGCCATCCATTTGATTCACGTAAATGGGGACGTGTTTATGAGACATTGTTGCGTAAGTTTCATTATATATTACTTGATTGGATAGTTTTTATTGCACTTTTAAGAAAAATCCTGAAAGTTAAAATTATTTTCACCTTATAGATATTTAAACTATTAATCAGTGAGTCAGTAATGTACATTGTCATATTGGCTTTAGCTTATGTCTTCACGATACATTAATCGCTCAATAGACCCTATCATTTTTTTTTCTTTCATTCCAGAATCAGGGATGTTTGAAGAAAATCAAACAATAAGGCCACTGGAAGCAAGTATGGATGATTTACGTGTTGTGCATTCATCCACCTATCTCTCATCATTATGCTGTCCATGTTATGTTGCAAAAATGGTTGAAGTTACACCTGTTGCACTTATTCCTCCATGTATTATCAACAAAGTTCTTTTGAAGCCTTTCCGATATCATACTGATAAGTTTGATGAACATACATCGATATATGTTTTTATTATAGTGCACGATTATGCTAACTGTCAATTAGTGTTCAATGCATGTTTGTACAGGCAACGCAAAGACTGCATTAAATGCATCGGTGCATACATGTTAAAAAGTGCATATTGTTTTAATGCTGCACTGTTTGAAGTTGCACAAATGGACGATATTCCTTTTCATTTGAAGGCGGCACAATATTGGCAGCCAGGCTTGCACTAACATCCGGTTGGGCAATAAATATTGGTGGTGGTTTCCATCATGCAAGCCGTTCAAAGGGTGGAGGTTTTTGTATTTATGCTGATATCACCTTGGCACTAACATTCTTATTCTCGAATCAGTTGATTTCAAAAGCAATGATTGTTGATTTAGATGCTCATCAGGTTATTTCACGTGTACTTTAACTGCATCATCTCTTATCGCTATTCTGCATTTTATCTTACATCGTGTTCCGACTGATTGCATTTTTATTAATTTTCATTGAACTTAAATTCTACTTTGGTTTACAATTCTTTGCTGATCGAAATTATTTCAGGGTAATGGTCATGAAAATGATTTTAGCGGTGACAGTCGCGTTTATATACTGGATATGTTTAACAGTCGTATTTATCCGCATGATCTGAGAGCAAGACGTAAAACCTTTATTCTTATTCTCTTCAAATGAATCTGTTCATGAAATCAAATATATAATCTTGTAATGTGTGGAAGGAAATTTCTAACGAAGTTGACACTAGGAAAGGAGATGCTTTGTAGTCAGTGTATTATGTCGGGCTTAGTGTAAATTGTCTTTAAATCAAAAAAATCAAGGAATTTAAATCAAGGAATCTAATATTTTAAATATGTTCTTAATATTATGTTAAATTATATGCCTTTTAATTATTATTTAGGTGCTATAAGGAGATCAGTTCATCTTCGTGTTGGTACACAGGATTCAGAATATCTCTCCTTACTTTCAAATAATCTTGAAGATGTCTTGAACGAATTTCAGCCTGATATAATCGTGTATAATGCGGGAACTGATTGTCTTCAAGGTGATCCACTTGGGTTATTGTCGATATCCTCGAAGGTTGTTGTATTTTTCTGTGTTTAGAAATTCTGTTTATGTCAGCTCAAAACACTTCGAAAGCTCAGAATGTGTCCAGTAGTAGTGTTCAAGTCTAAGTATTTCTTTTTTCTATTTAAAATAGTTTCATTAAAGCTAACGGTTTTCTAATGGTTGGAATCAGGTCATTTCTTGTTATAGTAATTTTAGGGAATTCGAAAACGTGATGAAATTGTTTTCAAAATGGCTCGTGACAGACATATCCCAGTCGTAATGTTACTTAGTGGTGGATATATGCCGAATACGCATGAAGTCATTGCCAAGTCAATCTTGAATTTGTACGATAAAAATTTATTAAGGATAGAACTGTAAACGAAACTTCATGTTATCCAGTTCACTTTTTTTTCAGAAAAAAACAGTTTACTGCAATGATATGCTAGTCTTTTATTGTTTTCAAAGAACAATAATTCCATTAAGTAGTCTTTCGTGTTTTATTACATTTTCTTTTCGTTATTGTCAAGAGAATTCAAACAAAAAAGTTAGCAAATCGGTATATTACATGTACAGTCCGTAAGTTCAGATTATAAAAGGAGCTCAAACAACAAGATGTTCACACTAAACATACTACTAATAATGTTGAAATGTAGTTTAAACTGTAAATTATTATACTGTAAATTAACTCCTAAGCAATGTATATTTTACCTCATTTATGTACTGCATGTGAGATAAACAGTATTGTTTTTATTTTCTTTTATTGTTAGCGCTCATTTATATGTATAGAAGTGTTGTAAAATTAAACTAGGATACATGTATGAGGAGAAGGGAAAGGAATGAGAATGAATCGAGGAATGTCAAGATAATTTTGCTTAGTGATGAGATTGAACCATTTGATAGGCATGAAGCTTGGAACAACTATACATGCTTTGCCCTCATTTTTTTTTTTTTTTCTCTAAATGAGAAAAAAGTCCCGTGATTCATTTCATTGGTGTTTTAAAAACATCGCAGAGAGAGATAGGAAGGGCGATAGAAAAGAAAAAACTACAACGAAATAGAGATAAGGGATGGGACCAATCACAGCACATCATTTCGTACGATACAGTTCTTGATGATCAAACGGAGTGGTATTTTCCATCATGTTTTCGCCATAAATTTTCTAACAGTTTCTTTTTGATAAATTTATACCCAATTCAATTTGCGACTTAGTGTACTTTGAAAATTCGCTTAAGTGGGAAATCATTGGTATTAGTAAAGTAACAGATAACGATACTTGAACTTACAGCTAGCACTGATTGATGAGTGATGGGTTGATTAATCGCTGTGATCGGATTTCTTCTAAAATTAATATGAGATTATGGGCTCATCAATGACGACTCATTGTAAGACCCAATTTGAATCAAATTCGAAGATAGCAGAAGATATACATTGAATATATATTCGAAGATTATAATATCAATCTATTACTGCCTTCAAAATCTCTAAATAATAACAACAATTATGAAATTGAACATAACATAACCACAACTCATGATAAATGGATTCTATGATTCCCTCTAATAATTCGTAGATATGGTACAGTTTCATTTATAGGTAGGCGATAATCATGTCGCCTTAAAGAAATGAAGAAATATTTTTGAATGTGACATCTGAAAAAAGAAATAGATTTCATCTTGCTCAAATAATTTAGACATGTTTTATAGATATGAAGTTTTATTATTTCATTAAAATTTTGTTTCACAAAGGAAGTAGCAATTTTTTTTTATGGAAATGAAGTTTGGCTGTGAGAAGTATTTAAATTTATTTTAGTGCTGGAAATACACAATAATCAAAGTTTGACAGTGATCTAATGCATTAGTAGATTAAACAAAACATTTTAATCAATAAAATGATTGAAACCAATGTATGAAGGCAATACTTTTTATTAATTAAAAATATCATTAAGTCTTGTTAGTCTTTCACCACTTTTCGATGTTAATTAAACGTAGCAGCGCTAATGGGCTGCTTGTATATCAAACAGTTAGCATATTACTGTTAATATTCTTCAATTTATTTTCAGAATTGATTGTCCAAGGCCAATATCAGCAGGTTTTGTCTGGCTAAATTTAGGTCCAGACCTACCTGTCGATATTGCCCGCGGGCAGTCACGTACCTTATTTTATCCTCATATTTCAATTCGAAGGAAAAGAAATTTAATATAGTTGTTACAAAAATACGTCACATTGTTTATCACAGGTTGAAGCTTCCATTTGACCTTGAATAATTTTAATGTTAGCATACGCTAATGGCACTTCTCTAAGTTTGATGGAACAGTTTTCGATTTTTTGTTTTACTATAGTTTATATCTCGACATATAGTATAGAGTGCGATTCCAATTTATAGTGCTCTGGAAAATTTGATAGCTTAGACAATAGCTTTTCCATCGTAATGGCTAGGAGGTGCAATTAATTAATTTTATTTTTTAGATCGAAATTTTCTATTTTTTGCTTCATTAGGGCTACTTTCAATCTTATAAATCTGTTAGGTTGTTAGTTCATAGTGTACAGTTAGTATCATAAAATTGAACAGTAACAGACAAAAAAATTTTACATGGAACACTAAACTATGTATGATGTCATTGGCTAGCAATATACTTAGACTTATTTACCGTTTTATTGAATATGTCCTCTTCAGGAGAAATACATCGAAGCTCATCGAAGCATCATTTCATGGATGAATAATTTGTGGGAAAAATCCCTTATTATTATTATTATTATTTTAATCCTTCTTATTATTATTATCAATTATTATTATTATTATTAGCTTATTATTGTTACTACTTTTACAAAAAAAAAAAAAACACACACACACACAATTAATGACGACATTCATAATAATGATGATAAAAACAATCATAATAATAGTAATGATGAATTTTGTTAATAATAATTATTTGTTAGAAAAGTTGCTTTTTTAAAGTCCTTAGCTTTCTTCATTAAAAAAAGGAATTGTGGGAAATCATTTTGATATTATTCATATTTCAACATTTTTATTTCGGATTTTCATCACTTCTGTTCGACATGCTTCCTCCATTCGTTGCAAAATTAACTGAATGACAGTTTTATAAATTGCATCCATGTTATCCGTATAACGTTCACCAAGGATTAGTTTTACTGAATATAGAAATGGATTTTCCATTTTCTGAAATATTTTCCCAGAAAAAAAAAAACATCATTAATGTTGTTTTCTTGAAAGTTAAAATGCTATCATCAATATGATGCTAATCAACATTTGCTTAATTATGTAACTTGTTCTTTCATATCATTCATTTACCGAATAAACCAAAAATTTTTTAATATGACATTTCAACTTTTGTAAGTAACAAATTTATGTTACTAAAAAAGTTCCGAATAAAACCATTACTAAACGAGTAGCAAGTAAAAGAATAACTTGCCCAGAACATTTCCGGTCTAAATGCTCCTCTGTGAGCATGTTGTCTTCCATTATTTTCGAGCAACATAAAAAATGCATCAGCATTTTCGATTTGACTGCAAAATTTCTAATTTTTAATTTGAGAAATGAAATATTTCTGCTTTTAGGTACCTTCCAAAATTTTTTTTTTTTTTTGGATAATGATTAAAAGGGTAGAAAAATATCACATTGAATACTAGTGAATAGCATTTTCTATTATGCCACATGAAAAAGAAATTAAAAAATAATTTGAAAAAGTTAAATCAAATTTCAGCAACAATAGTTTATGTCTTCAATGATATTAGTAAGTAATCCATCATACATTATTCTAAATTACTTTGAATGATAGATTTATCTGTTTGATGAAAAGTTAATCAATGAGAATTACTACCTTATTGCTTTTCCAATGAATTTCATAACCGCAGCGCCATGGGCACTTAAGCGCTCATCACTTGCCTGCTTTTCTTTCGCTGTATTAGCAATATTTCGGAAATTAAAAAATTCGTAGTATTCTGGATGTTCTGTTAGCATCCTGCGGAAACATAAAAAATTGTATCAAATTAACTTGCTTAACTAAAAAATTCATTAACAAGAAGTGATTCAATCAATATATCAGTTCGATTAATTTTCATCTTTAATTTTCATCTAAGTATTTGTTTCAAATTCCTCGTTAATAAAACTGAAATTAATAAAATTTTAAATGAAGCAATCAAAGGAATGATAATCATTGCTTTGATTATTTGAATTATGCATTATATTGAGTAATACTAGAATAAAACTACATAATTGTGATTGATAAGTTACTTCAGGAACATTTCAATACCAGCAGTGGTGACATCGCGTTCAATACCTTTCCAATTCTTGATTAAAACAAATTTTTGCTTCCTAGTCAGTGGTATTCGTGAATCATTAAATTCGTCATTGACCGATTTAGCATTTGATTTGCAATACTGATCGGATATATTTACCGGAATTTCATTCCGACCAAAACATAAACACTTCATCCGGTATTTATATAGCCAATTTTCTAGATGAATTTTGTATATAAATATAAATATATATATGTAAACAGGCATACTTCTAAATTTAACAAGAAAAGTGGGAGAAAATAAAATATACTGAAATTTCAAAGTATAGGATGTATTTTCAATAGATAAATATTTGTAAACGATGATAGCAAAAGTTATTGACTGAAATGAATGTTATTGGAGGAGAAGTCATTACACCAACTCATCATTTTATATTATAATTGAACAATTTCATGTTGTCTATTCATCTTTTTCATTTAAAACAACAAAATAAATTACTACTACTTTATCATTAAAAGAAAGAAAAGCATTGTTGGCATCAATAACATAATTTAATTAATTATCTCTTATCAACTCTTATCATCTCTTATTCCCATCATTCCTTCATTGTTTAAATTTTTAAATAAATTTAATAAATCAAACAAACAAAGAATTTAAAAATGAAAGCATATTAAAAACAAAGTGAAAATTTTATTTAGAAAAGAAAAAATGTCAGTAAAAAAGAATCAGAAATTATTAGAATATATCCGAATGCTATGACTTTAACTTTCCAATACATTCAATTAATTTCGTATTTTATTGTTTGAATTTAGAAATTTAAAAAAAAAAAAAAAAAAAAAACGAATAAGTGACGACGAAGTCTATGTGAAACAAGGAAAATGGCAAAAAGCAAAATCTGATTTGTGATTGTTATTATTATTAATCCTTGCTAGTATTATCACTTGTGATGCTGTTATTATTACTATTACTTATTAGTACCATATTATTATTATTGTCATTATTATTATTGTTAATATTATTATTATTAATTATTATTATTATAATGAAAAAGACGAAAGAGATAAATAACGGAAACCAATCTATAATCCTTTTTCTCGTAGGATTATTCCTATCACCAAA